GGGGCAGATCCGGCCACCCGTCGCCGATTGGGTACCCTATTCTCATTTCGCCGGAAGTTCGCCGGGGGCACTTGCCCAGGCATGCCCCCCCTCTCCTCCGCCCCTGGTCTCTAGTCCCAACATATTGGGTCAAGATTGTAGTTTTGCGATGTTGTGTGAGGTTACCAAATAGTCCAACTCTTTTTGCATCAGTTGAGATTGCATGTTGCACTTCGCTCGCTCAATCGCTGATTCTCTGAAGACATCTCTGGGGACTAGCTCTACTGCTCTAGGACAGAGTGTTGTGACGCTTGAGTTTATCTTGAAACTCTAAGAAAATACTTAGGGGATAGGGGAAACCGAGAAGTATTAATTATTTCTAATTTGTATTACTCTATATTATTTTTTTTACATTTTTATACGTACTACTCCATATATACTACTCCATATATACTCCGTAATTTACAAGTAATATAATTAGACTCTAAATGACTAGTTTTTTGGACTAGTTCTAGTCTTTACACCAATCTTTTACTAGTCTTGGATCGGTTCAGGTCTTTAACATGTTTTTTACTAGTCTTAGACTAGTCCTAGTCCTCTATAAATATTAAGGATTATTTGAGACTACTGGTCTTGGACTAGACTAGTCTCAAGGACTACTTCGGTCCCAATCTTTCAAGTCCAAATCCTAGTCGGTCTCGGTCAATCTTTTCGGTCCCAGTCTTTATGCTCTTCTCTATTTTAAGAGGGAGTGTTGGAATTAAAGAAGATTTTTTGAAGAATTAATTCTCTTATTAATGAAGCAGTACCTTTGTTTTTTTCGCATCACCTCTCTAAATGTCTTATGCAAACAACTTTTATCCTCTAGGTCTCATCTCCTAATCAAGAAAGACCCCGGTACTTCATTTCTAGATTTGGGAAGTCGATCCAAATGGGAGTAAATAACCTTCAGTTCATTAATGTTGATCTTAAGTCTAGCTTCTGTTTTTGGACAAATATAAGTTTGTTGTCAAAGAAAGTATTTTCTTTTATTACCTTCCTTTGGAAACGCGATATCATCAATATCATATGCTTTCTTTCTAGATTCTTGTCAAAAGACCTTTGATCACCCTCTAATTGGATATAGCCCTAATGCCCTTTTTGGGAATAGCGTTAGAGATTAGCGTTACGATTTTAAAAAGCCTATTTACGGAGAGCGTGTAGTTTTAGCATTTTCAAAGTAATATGTACCGTTAAAATTTTATCCAATACGCTAACGTTAATTTCTAAAAAGTTATTCCCAAACACGCCCTAAGAATACAATAAATTAAAGCTGAATCCCAACATCCGAAGTCCTCAATAACATCCTCTTTAGTGAATTTTGCAACTCACAAACCATTGATTCAGTCACCCCCTTAGTATTAGATTGTAGAGTAGATAGGTTGCTTCTGGATGTTGATGCAACATTGTTCTCATTGGAACCATCGTAGCTGCTTGTTTTAATCAAAAAATACGAAATTTGAATAGAAATAAAAAAAATGATTTGAATTGAAAATATATTACAAACAATGAAATTTAAATAAATTGGCCTAGTTTGTATGGGTGAAGGGGTGACACCGGTCTTAAATCGGACAAGACCGAGCCGGAATTTTAGAAAATCGAAAAACAAAAAATCAAGTAAAGAGTAGGACCGAAACCTTTACCTAAAAGATTCTGGTTCCGACCAATTTTTTTTAGCCTGATCTAGTTTAAGACCGTAAAACCAATATCTTTTATTTTTCTTGAATTCTTTCAACTCATTTTTTGACGACCTAGCTTGATTCTCCGATATAGTACATTTAGAATAAGCTGTATGGTATTGTTAGTTTCTCAGTTTCTGCTACGAGAGAATTTGGGGGGGGGGGGGGG